CCCGCCCCCTCCGTTAGACCCGCCCCCTCCGTTAGACCCGCCCCCTCACGGACGGACCGGCCCGTTATTGGCGGGCGCGGGGGGGGCGGGGCCAGCGCCATGGCCGCCGCGGGGGCAGCGCGGCCGCGCAAGGTGCCAGCGGGGCGGGGGGGCTGAGGGCGCGGGGCGGGCTCGTCCGCGGCCTCACAGACCCGGCGTGGGCCCGGACGGGGTGAGGGGAGCTGCGGGGGTCCCTCCCGCCATCCAGGAACGACTCCCGCGAGCGGTCGGGCCTTCCGGGGCCCAGCCCGGCTCGCACCGGGGCGCGGTGTCCCTCTCTGGGCGAGTCTCTCATGTAGCTCCTGGAGCGGGTCCAGCGGAGCGCAGCGAGGGTGGTTGTGGGACTGGAGCATCTCTTACGGGGGAAGGCTGAGGGAGCTGGGTCTGCTCAGCCTCGAGAAGAGACGGCTGAGAGGGCACCTCATCAATGTGTATAAATATCTAAAGGGGGGAACAGGTTGCACAGAGAGGGTGTGGAGTCTCCCTCACTGGAGATATTCCAGAACCGCTTGGACACGATCCTGTGCCATGTGCTCTGGGGTGACCCTGCTTGAGCAGGGAGGTTAGACCAGAGGACCCACTGTGGTCCCTCCCAGCCCGACCCGTCCTGTGACTCTGGGAATGTGTGAGGGTTCTTCCACCCTGTGTGTGTGATCCTTAAAGTCCCCAGGGTTCAGGTGGGTATTTATTGAGTTTGTACATCAGCTCTTGGATGTGTCAGTAAGTGAATCACTGTATCTGTAGAATGCTGTGGAAATTATCAAAGCATCATGCTGTAAGGGCACATTTTGTGAAATAACCCCACAAGTTTAAGGCCCTGGTGGCAGCAGTTACCCCCTCCTTGGCCTGGGAGCTGTAAATTGCCTTGGACTGATCCACTTCTGCAAAAGTTCTTGGAACTGGGGGGCAATGGTAGTCTTCAAGTATGTTGTGAAAGTACTATGAAAATCAAAGTGTATTTCTGTAATCAACAGGGTTTGTCCTCTGGAAGGCTGTCAGGAGCAGTTAAACTAACAAATGGAAGAAAACAGTAAGACTTTGATCACAAATACTGTTTAAGATTGAGTGTATGTGTGAGTGTTTGGGAATCTTATACTAGTCACAGTGCACAACTAACCAAAATTTGTTGTATATTGCTAGCTGTATGTAAGATTGTTGAATGGAGTCTGAATTTGCTTTTGACTTCAGCTATTATTGTCGGCTAAATATGTTTGTTGCAGCCATGCAAAGTTTTCAGAAAGTGAAAGTTATTTTTTCTTGATAAAATTAATTTCTTCTTGTTTCCTACTATTGAATGAAAGTAAGTTGTTTTTTACTTTGCTGCATATTAAGGAGTTGGTATAAACAGTGAATTTGACTTTTTCAGGTTTGCCTTAAGGAGAGGATGTTATTCTGATGCAGAATTATTTTCCCCTGACTCTGACAATCAGGTAATTAAGTGACTTTTTAATACAGTCATCTCTGTTATCTAAAGAGAAGAGAAATTGTAATACCACGAGTAATAGAAGAAAAGCAGGTTAATCTGAGCCTGAAATAGCTCCTGCAAAGCAAGAGAGTCTGTACTGCACCTTGCAGATACAAGCAAGTTGGTTTTGTGTGCAGTGACTCTGGCTCTGACAAATCTCATTAAAGCACAGGATACATTTTGCAGACACAAATATGCTGCTTGTGGACAGGGGTTGGTCTTGGCAGAAGAACAGCCACACTTGTTAAGTTTTTGTGCTGAAAAGAGCACAAAGAGTGGTATGGAGTCAGTGCTGCAGCACTGGGATTTGAGTAGTGCTGAACCAATTGTCTCCAAAATACAAATAGGCTGTAGATAATAGTTTAACTGTACATGGAAATAAGAATTAAAAAAAGAACCATGCATGCAGTTACCAAGACACAAAATCCAGCAAATGGACATGGTGCAACAACACAATTTAGTTATTTTGTGAAATTTACATGTTTGCAAAAGTCCATGTAATTGTAAAGTAGTATATGGAAAACTTCTTTCTGGTTATCACTTTGTCAGGTGATAGAGTGGAGATTACTCCCCTCAAACCTGAGTTTAGTGAAAGAAAACAGTGGTACTCATTTTCTGACTGCAGTGTTCTTTGTGCAGGTTGATGCTATCCATGATGGACTTGATCAGTGTGCAGCTTTACTGAAGAATTTCATACAAAATGGGGCTACAGGTTGTAGCTATTGAAAATGCAAGTTATATTTTTAGGTTTTGTAATACTCTCTTGGTTTGTTTTGTTGACTACTTTTTCTTTCAACTAATACTAGGAAAGGAGGCTGTCCATAAACAACCTGGGAAAGCATCTACTTCCAAGCCTTTCCTAACCAAAGGAAATACTTCCAAGAAGAAGGGGTTAACAAGAAATGTTACTCCTGCCCCTGTCCGAAAAGAAATTGGTAAGTGGGCTTTCTTGGGCTTGATTTTTTTTTTTGAACAACATTAAAAGACTCCTCAACTTACTGAGATATGGCAAGGCTTCAAATAATTGTTGCCATTTGTTATAGGCCGATCCCAGGCTGAATCCACAAAAGGATGTAGACATAAATTACTGGTTTTTTAAAACCTTAAATGTTTAGTAAACAGTTACTGAAATTCACAAATGTTTGAGTTACATGTATAAGAAAGAAAGTTAAGTGCATTTAGGAATCTGCCAGACAATACAATGGGTTTACAATGGGTTTGTGTAGCTCGAGGAGACAGGCAACTTCAGGTGGGTTTTTTGTTCCTTGTTTCTCTGCAGTGCCAATATCAAATAGAAAATTTGCCTCGTCCACCACACCTTCTACTGAGAAAGAACTTTCCAGTGCAGCACAGAATCAGATGGTTCAACCTGTTCATGTGCCTTGCAGTCAACACTCTCCTGTGATGTATCAGAAACTGTGTGAGCATGTGGAAACTCAGATGTCTCTGATAACTGGCCAACCACCACAGGAGAGTAATGAAATTCCTACTGTAACTCCTTCTCCTACCTCAAATCAGGGTTAGTGGAACTACTAATGTAGAGCTGACTATTTAACTGCATGAGTTTTGCCCCAAATTTCCCTGATCTCTGAGTGCTGTTTTCTTTCAGGATGTCAAAACGTTGCAGCTTTTAATTATCTGTTACCTACGTCCACATCAGCACTGTCCCTGCAGCATTCAGCTAATCCCTTGACTACTCAGTCAGTAAGTAGAAGTTTGATTCTGACTATTAATGAACATACTGAATTAGCACTGCCTATTTATTTATACATTTAATTTTGTCAGTTTTCCTAATACTTTTCCTTTAAAAAATTGCGTATTTCAATCTGTAGCGATGAACAAAATAAAAAGAGAAAATATTGCTTTTCAAAACACATCTTATATAGACACCAGAAAATGAAATTAGAGGCATTTCAACTGGCTGCTTGTTTCTGCATGGGAAATTCTGTAATGGACAATAAACATGGAAGGTGCAGGAAATTATTGATTACTGTTAATTGCATTCTCAGTAATGCACATTAGGATCATTAACCAACTCCTTACAGAAGAAATCACATATCATATGGATATGATAATGCCAATGATCAGGTTAATAATTTCTTCAGACAGTCTGTGTTATCTTACAGGCATATGTTAAAATGCCTGTGTATTTCAGGGTATAGAATAGAACTAATGGAGAGAACCAGCTGCCACCTCAGGAAATGTGGTAGAGGGCTTGCACCTTGAATCTGTAAGACTGTAGACTTACCTTCCATCTGCAGGCAGTCCATGTATAGCTAGTGCTGGCCTTGACTTTTGAAATTCATCTGATTAAAATCTTGAAAGGTAACAGTGTTGTCCTTTTTTTTTTTCCTTCTTTCTTCCCTGTTCTGGATGGATTCAAGAAACACTGCTGAGGTTTTTTCTTTATAGAACACTTGAAAAAGAACTGTGCTTTAATGTTGCCAGTAACATTTAAGATAAAGACAATCTAAACCAGATTTACATTTTAATTACTCCTTATTATACAGGAAAATTATTCAGTTAATAATTTGTTCTTATAATTAGTAAAGAATGATCAAGAGTACATTGAGGCAGACAAGTGTTGTTTGGGGGTTTTTTTTTTAAAGATTTAGAAATTATGTTAATTTTTTGTTTAATTTGAATATTCTTTATGCAGGGTGTTCCTGTAGATAGTGCCAGTGAATGTGTGCCAGAGATGGGAGGACCTGTGGTTTTCCCAGTAGTTTCTGCTGCTCCTGCTGCACAAGTGCAGTCTGCCACTGCTCTTCCTAGTGTGGTCCCTTGTACAGCACCAGGTCCTTCAATCCCTACAGTGCCTACATTGGTGCCAGCATCTTCTGCCAGAGAGATGACTCCAAACCAAGAGCACCAGATAAAAGAAGCAGATTTGATAAGGTGCATACAAGCTCACCTGGCCCTGTTACAATCACGTGAGGGACTGAATGGCAGCACTGAACAGAGGTGCCATCAGCATTGTCCAGCACAACATGATGGCTCAAGTGATACGGAGGAAGATACTTCTGAAGAGCACAGTGAGGATCTGGTCAGTGAGGAGGATGAATTGAATGTCCTTGACATAGCTCCAGTAAGAGATACAAGCTGTAGGACAAGTTGTGTGAAGAAAGTTCTAAAATCTAGAAGAGAAAGTCCAGAAGAAACAGCCCATAAAGTTATGACTGTAAAATATCTTATGGGTGAACTCAGAGAACTGATAACTGATCAAGGTGAGGACATTTTTGTTGTGCAGTGGAGTTATTACGTACAAATAACAGAAGAGCTCTGTTAAATGTGAGCACTTCAGTTCCTGCAAGTTGTGTGTGTCAGATGGTGTGTGACAGCGTGGTTTTCCACAAGAGTAATACCTTCAGGTTTCACTTTGCATAAGTATTAAATTATTTTTGGACTATTTTAACATTATCGTAACATCTGGGGTAAGGATTGTTCCTATTTCATATACAGATCTTTCCCCTGAGAGGGGGCCCAGTGTGGACATGTTGCAACAGCAGTCCCAGCAAGGCTGGTTGGAGAGATGGTGGCTTGTGTTTTATTGAGGATGTAAAGAATAGTTTTCATAGTCAAGCTTAACAATTTTAAGTAAATATAGTTAAAGATGAGGTTTTCCTGGGGAAAACAATGTAGGTACTAGTAAACCACTTTGTAGATTGCTTAATCACATGTAAAATATTACTGTCATATTGCAGCTTTATAGGTTTATTGAATCTCCTTTTTTCCCTCACGTCTTGCAGATGATTCAGAAATGCTGAGGTTGATGAGTGAAATAGAAGGTTGTGTATCATTGCTCCCAGCTGTAGTGGGAAGTACAAACATCCAAGCTGAAATAGCTCTGGCTTTACAGCCTCTCAGGAGTGAAAATGCCCAGCTGCGCAGGTCAGTAACTGTCAGCGATCCTGTGGTTACTGCAGATGTGCCTAAAGCATCTTTCACTGGCCTGTTCTAAATTGCCTATGTTCTATCATTGTCATGGTAGACATGTTAGGGCTCTTCCCTTCTTGTCTGTGCAGTATTTATGTACTAGAAAGTGTGTTGGTAAGGCTGTACACCTTAAAAATAACTAACACACAGCAAGTCTTCAGTTAATACTGATGACTTAATAGTGTTGGTTATCTCATGATTGGACCTTTGGCTGGATGGGATCAATGCACTGTTCTGAAAACTGCAGTATCAACATAGTTAGCCTGCTCATATTCTTTGTGTAGATCATTCTCAAATGCAAAAGTGTCTCTCATTTCAGGGGAGCTCTCAAATGCATTACTGAGTAGCACTTGACTTCAGAACAGGGGGAGGGATATATACCAGAATGTGCAAAGGGTCTTTTGTGTTGAAGAAGTACAGGAATGTAAGAAAAACATGTTAATAAAACTTTTTTATATTTCTGAAACATTCCATGACATTTAATTCTCAGTAGCAACTTCTTACCAAACTTCTTACCAAACTAATTTAAAGTGCAGTGCTTTTGAGCTAATTCTAATACTTCTGGATTTGTGCTTTTTCACAATTCACATTTAGGAGACTAAGAATATTAAACCAGAAACTCAGGGAACAAGACACCAGTGAGAAGAAATCTGGACAGAGCTGCAATTATGAACGTAAAGTACTGATAATGTTGCTGTCAGGGAGATATTTGTTACAGCTTTATTTCAATAGATACTGTTATTTTTTATTTATATATTTGTACCTTCCTATGTCTGTATGTATTGCAGCCTTTAGTGGCAACCAAACTAAGTGTTGTGGGTCTAATCATGCAGCTGCATTTGCATGGACTGTTGGGCCTTTTTAGACTCCACAGAGTCAGACTTGGCTCTTCAGCTGCCAAGCAGATTATTTTTCTTTATGTGCCTGAAGATGACAGATAATTAAGAAGAAAGCTTGAGCTTTATCTTGCTGCTGCAAAAACCCTCTGTTTGTAACCAAAATGCATATTACCAAGATTATTTAAAAACTTAGTTTGGTTTAGTAATTCAAACTACCATACAAAACACTTAAACTTTTTATATTTCACTTTTGGTAGTAGTTTCTTTGCAGTCCTTGAATATGATGCTCCAGAGTCAATTGAAAGAATCGCAGAAAGGCCTTGATTCACTGCAGGCTAAAAATGAAGAACTTCTTAAAATAATAGAAAGTCAGAAAGAAGAAAATAAACATCTTGCAAAAGTTATTCAAGATAAAGAAGAGGAATTGCTTGAAAACAAACAGCATTATGACATTCATTCCACCAAGCTCAAGATTGGTACGTGTTTTCAATTTGGTTATTCTTTGTTTAATGTTTTAGAACTCAAATAATTAGGTAAATTCTTCTTGGCATTTCAGAAGTGGAAGAAGCATTAGGAAATGTGAAGAGCCTTCAGTTTAAACTGGAAGCTTCAGAGAAAGAAAACAAGATTTTGGGCATAACATTACGTCAGCGGGATGCCGAGGTTAAGAGACTGCGGGAATTAACCAGGTACTCTTGGCTAAGCCTTTTTTTTGCCTCTTGACATTGGTCTTTTTTGGGTTTTTTCTTTTTTTTATGCTGTGGATTACTGTAATCTTAGTATCTTGGTGGTAGGAGGTAACACCGGCTAAAACTTCTCTTTGTAGTTACTTTGGTAGCAATGGTGATATAATTTTGTTTAAACAGAGTTATCATAAATTCTGTGGTAAAGTAAAATAATATCTGCAGTAACTTATGTGAAGTTTTAACTCTTAATAACAGATCTGGCAATAAGTTGTTCCATGGGAAGAGCAAGGACCTGAAAACACACTGATACTTCCCTTGAAGGTGTAGAATTTGGAAATTAACTCTTAACTTGAATTTTTTTTTTACACTGGTTTAGATATTGGTCTGGTTTTGAGCACAACTGGCAGAGAAGATCTGCCTTCAGGACCCACAGCAAGCTCTTCCTGTGGGAATGAGCAGTCCTTTCTTTAACTGTACAGACATTTGAAGTAGATTATGCCCAGATATAATTATGGGTAGAGGTAGGAGTTCTTCGATCACTGAATGAAGGTGGTGTTACTCACATTTTTTTTTTAGAACTACTATTGTGAATTTATTTTATCACAGTCTTTTATGATAAAAATAGGAGCAAGCTGGGAGACATAAATAGGGTTTTGCAGATGCATAGTGGTATGCACAAAAAATTGGTTTGGACATTCTGTGTACAGGAAACAAAACTGTTTGTCTGTCATGTTTGTAATTGGTACTGATGGAAACAGCAGAATATTTTTAATCAACATTTCAAATTATTCAGTAGAATTTTAGATGCTTCTGTGGCTGCTATACTGACCACCAGATGGTGGTATAATAATGTCTTACTGCATGTGTTTATGTATCTGCTATAGACTTAAGCATCTAAGCATGAATTGCTTTTGATGCGCAAAGCAGAAAATTAGAAGAATTATTTCCTTTATAATGTTTTTTATAATATTTTTAGATGTAATGGGAACAATAATTCAGAAAACATTTTGTAGGGATTTTGATAACTTCTTCTATCTGCTTTGAACAGTTTCTTGGCATCAATTTATTTCATTTTGTGCCACACAAAGTCAGGTAAACCAGGAATAATCTGGAGAACTTCATTGGGTTGTGCTACTCTAGTTGTTTTATAACCATACTGAGCTGAAGAAAAGTTCAAGAAACTTGGAATTAGTTCATGTTTGTACTACATTTTATGACAATATGTAGAAAGAGCACTGCCACTTTGCCGCAGTCTGATAAATTACTGTTTTGGTCCTATAGAAAAGTTTTTAACTACTCTTTTTAGTGACTAATTTTGAACCTGTTGTATTGATCTTACCTAAACAGAACCTTGCAGGGCAGTATGGCCAAGCTTCTGTCTGACCTCACAGTGGACAATGTTAGACCCAAACCTGAAAAAGCTCTCTCAAAGTCTCTTTTGGAAGACCACGAAAAGCAGATGCAACCTGAGCCATTTCCTGGGAGTACTGCAGTAATGACTTACCTTAAAAAATTAGAAATGGATCATATTTTGATAGATACAGATCTTCAATTCGCAAATGAAAGTGGAAACATGGAAATGCAAAATCTGGCCTATGAAAAGTTTGATGCTGAAGGAAGTAAAATAAACAGTACGTTCATAGAAGAAGGAACATCAGCTCCCAGAGCACTACAAACTTCATTGAACCAAGATGCAGAAACAATTAGTGATTCTGGGACTTTACTAGATGACCAAAACAAGTTGGATGAGACAATTTATATTCCATTGACTAGCAGTGCCTCTAAAAAACAGCAACCAGTCTCTGAAAGAAGTGGTGTGCTACCCCAGAGTAGAGGGGCTTGTAAAACTTTGGATTTCTGTGAGCTCCCAAGTTCTGTGCAGCAGCGTGGATGTGAGCTATCAAAGGATCCAGCTGTACTGGATAAGTTAAGTGCTGGGTACAGTGTGAAAAAGACTGTGGAAAACACTCTTGAAGTTACAGGGGATAAAGCAAAGTTGGAAGGAGACAAAGTCCAAATGAGATCAAAAGTCATTCCAAGTGGAGCTGCAAAAGATTCCACAGATAAACCAGACCAACCTCAGCCTGGTACATACCCTCGTGTATCAATGCCATTTCCAACAGAGATTTCTCAGAGAAGAGGTAGTAAAACAGCTGATTTTAGTTGCATTTCATTTGATGGTTTATCAGTGAGATCTGAGTGGAGTGCAACTTCTTTCTCAACATTTACTTCTCGAGATGAAGAGGACTTTAAGAATAGTTTAGCAGCCTTGGATGCCAACATAGCCAAGTTACAAAGGACTCTGCAGAGTAACATCAGAAAATAATGATTATGAGGAGGGGAAATGGGCTGCCCTTGTTCGGAAAAATTAGGTTTTTTAAAGTATATTAATAAGTATGGTGCAGATATGTATATTTGTATGTAATAACTTTTGCTTAGCTGTTTCAACTATGGATAGAATTTGTTCCTCATTAAGCTGTGGCACTGTTTCCCTTGATGTGTACAACTTGAAGTAACTGGCTTTTTATATAAAATATAAATGGTTTGGGGTTTTTTTTAATTATTACTTAGGTTTATACTCTTTACTTGCAAAATTAATTATACTTGAAAATTAAAGGTACTTGTTTACTCATGGGGTTTTTTTCCTTCGCCTAAGAACTGTTGCAAGGTGCTATACATGAGCAAGAGGTTCCACAGGTAGGGGCCAGGGAAGAGCTGTCTACAGAGCAGCAGGAATGCTGAGAGTTACAGTTGCTAAGTCAGGATCATGCTATTCCAAAAATAAATGCAGCCATCATATGGGATTTGTAGTGTATGGTAGATCATATAAAATACATGAAGTAATCCTTTTTTACTCATCACTGATAAAACTCAGTTTTCTCTTTGGACCATTTTACTCAAAGGAAGAAGTTGATGGAGAGTTCAGGTGAGAGCAAGAAAAGAACTATCAAAGTTCTGTTGTTTTCTACAGTTCTGTTTTAGGTTATACTTTTTACTAATGTTTGATTTTTATCTAAAGTAAAAGAATATAGAACCCGTGGATAAACACAGAACAAACAGGCTGATGCTGAGAAACAGAAGCAGCACAGCTGACACAAAGGAGACAAATTAGGAATTAGTGAAAGCTGGCAAACCAGTGCAGTTAGCAAAGCACTAGAATGTACAGTGTGAGGAAGCCATGGAAATTCCACAGTTGTTGAGATGTCAGACATCTACTGGGCATAAATACAGAGAGTCTGGACTGAATCACCCAAATTGACTCTCACAGGAATGGGAGTGGAAGGGGGAATGATTCCAGTCCGCTGTTCTCCCCAACAGGCCTTTCCACATCTCAGTCTCAAGAATATGCATAATATAAGTGTTTAAGTTACAGGTAGGGGAAGGTGGTGTTATTGCTACCATTCTGTTCCTCTCGCGCTCTTGGCAGTGCTTCAGTGCTGTTTTTCAGGGAAAATAACTTTGGAAAAGAAACAGCAATATAAGGACCTGAATTTAAGATTGCTCTTTCTGCAGCATTGCTTTTTTTTTTTCCTAGAAAACATTGATGTGCTTCCTGGTACTGTTTTCTTGTACGTTTCCAAGTAGAAGAAAAGTCCCTCATGGTTAGTTGCTTGAATGAACACATTTTAAAGTTAGGACACTGTCCATGCATTGTGCTGGGAAGCAGTTCTGTGATTATTTTAGTTACTGGTAACTGAGTCATACAAAGGTATGAAGACAACACATACTACAGGAGATGCCAACTGGCACTCCTGCTTCAAAAAAGGAAAGTTAGACTAAATAGTGACTTCAGTGATTTAGAATGCTTTTAAGGCTTGGCCTGGATTTCTTGGTACTCTCCACACTCCTTGTGTTCACATTCAATATAAGGTTGATGGTATGAAAGCTTTAATTAAATATTTACAAGCAGTTTCAGTGTAGAAGCTAAACAAGATTTAAACTATTATTACGGTGGGGATTAAAGACAAGCTACAATAAATTCTAGTCTTTAAAACTCACAAGAAAGCTGAGGAAAGATGGGAAGAATATTCATTAGTAGACAAACTAATTCAGTTTTCTTCTTGCAGCTAGGACTTTCTCCATTTGAAGTAGAGTATTTGTCCTGGCCAAAGATAGTTGCAATCTGCATAAGGCAGCTGTGGTGTCAAGATACCCAAGCACGTTGTTCTTTGGTTGAGAACATTTACATTCACTTTTGTCTCAATGAGGGAAATGTTACACCATCTTACTCATGTCCTGTTCATTGTCACAAAGTCAGTCCTGTCAGAGCAGGAGATGACTACTGGAAAACCCTCTTGGGGATAATGACATATGAGCAGGTTGGAAATGTGTATCCACTTGCAAGGAGGAGAAGCTTAGAAGAAGAAACAGGAAGGAAACAACGTCTTTCATGTGGTTCTTTGTTTTGTACTCAAACATGTCAATCAGAACTATAGCATCCTAATGAATTATAAAACTTCCCATGTATGGGCACCATGAATGTGCACTGTTGTGGAAGCAAAATTCAACAAGATCAAATAGCTAAGTCTCTTAAAGCTGGGCAAGGCTTCTGGGATTCAACCCAAGACAGGGCATTGAAACTGTGGAAATCAACATAACTGGTGTTCTGATAGCCTCAACAGAAGGCTTACAAACTCATTCTTTTAATGTGTGTATGTAGTAAATACTCCCTACAGAAAATAAAGGCAATCCTAAATTTGCACATTTTGTCACATGTTTGGACCACTCAAATTTGCAGTCTTGCAAGTACATCCTAAATAAGATCCCAAATGACTGAGTAGAAAGAAGTTTTTATCTTTGGTGCATAAAACAGTTTAAAAGTTATTCTTATTCCTATAATAAGGAGGTAAAATTCACTATGGACCAAAGGCATAACTTTTGTCAACACCAATGCTTGGAACATTGGAGTAGCTCAAGCTGCAGCACATATTTCTGCTCTTCACTGATCAGGATATGATGAATTGGGAGTTACTAGGATTCATCCTTGTTGCACACATGTAGTCCTTAGGCCTGTATCTTTCATTGACTGAGTTACATTCCTGATTTAGGTTACATTCCTGAGTTACATTTAAGAACCTTTCACTGTGATCCAATTGATTAAACTGCCTGGCTAGATTCCAACGCCAAACTTTGTTTCCCCAGCAGCTAAAAACTGTAACTTTCTATTTGGAAGCAGGACAGAATTTTTACCTGTGTAAATTCAGCACTCACACCAATCACCCCAATAAGAGCAATACAATCTTCATTTGACTTCTGGTTTTGGACACATCCCTACAATGAGGTAGAGGAGTCAAACTGTATTTGCAACAGAATTCAAACTCCCTTTCTGTTTCAGGTTTGTTAAGGATACTTTAGGAGAGCTTGCAAGAGGCAAGAGAATACAATAATGAACTGAGCCACTGTGTCAGCTATACGAGTCATTTTCGTGTTGCACATGAAATTTTGCAGTTGTTTCTAAGGAACAAATAAAAGGTAGTCTTTAAAATCAGTTAGATATATTGTGTCAGAATAGTACAGACCTTCCTCAGAGCTGAGGGATCAGACAAAGGGCAGCCAGCTGTGGAGCCTGTTTCTGTAGCCAGGCTATCACTGGTGTAAACAGCCATGAGATGTTTGGGGCAGTTCTGAAAGGAACCATCTCCTGTGCATCTCAAAGCCTGTTCTTCCACACCTGCTGTTTTACCAGGGTCATGAGAAAAACAGCTTAAGATTTTCTTCCGCTCTGTTGTAAGTACTTATAGTGTATTTTCAGGATTTGCAAAGATCTACGGTTGAACCTTATGGTGCCAAATTGAGAAAAGCACAACTAGTTGGGCCGAGGAATTTATCACAGGTGGCTACTTGATCATACAGCTCAACAAGTATTCAGCAGGACTTTCCAGTTTGGCCAGAAAAGCTGGTTTCAGGTTCCATCCATCACTGTATCAGCCTCCAAATAAAAAGGATATATGAAACTGCTCTGCTCAACATGAAATCATTATTCTATGTTCAGCAATAGCTGCTGTGAATCATTTCTTCTGTTGCAAGGATAAACTTCAAAAGTAACACCTCAGCAGCTACAATATCAATGATCATGATTAGATATTAGGAAAAAATTCTTCACTATGAGGGTGGTGAGACACTGAAACACATTTCCCAGAGAAGTTGTGGATGCCCTATCCCTGGAGGTGGTTGAGGCCAGGTTAGACGATGCTTTGGGCAACCTGGTCTAGTGGAAGGTGTCCCTGGCCATGGCAGGGGGTTGGAACAAGATAATCTTTAAGGTCCCTTCCAACCAAACAATTCTGTGATTTTATGTGGCCTCCTCTAGATTTTTCTTGCAAACACAGAAGTTACAGGAGTTTCATTTTTACAAAGCATATTCTGTGAAGTTGACATCTGCACTTCTCAATGGTGTGGAAAGAAAGAAACTCTTAAAACACATTTCATCAAGCTCTTAATAGTCATTTTCTTTTTATGAATACTTTTCCTTACGTAAAGTAGAAAAGATTGGACAATACTCCTGAATACCTGAGTTTAACCTGTATATAATTCTCTCCTCTGACTTCTTGAGCAATAAATGCCTGTAGTCCAGTGTCTCATTCCAAGAACTGGGGAATGGTAATGGCTCCCTGCAGACACAGAGGATTGCTGTCTTACTACTGTGTCCAATTCCATCAGAAACTTCATAGGGAATGAAAGATTCGCTGAAGTGAAGCCCGTGCTGCATCTGTGTGTGTAAATAAGCTACCTGGAACACTGATTGTGATCAAGTGGCAACATCATGCAGTTGTGTGTGGAAGGAAGGTTTTACAGCTCAATGTTTTACAAAATAAAGAAATAAATAAAAACCCTAGGGATTTCCACTTGTGCCTCAAGTACATTTCTTAAGTCACTGACTTACTCAGGCATTCTTAACAAGGCTGGGTTTTTTTTCCTTAGAAGGGAAGAGAAACAGATGAAGGCAAAAAAAAATTAAAAAACAATCATAGATTTAGTCACTGCAATGATCCCCAAATAGCACAGAGAAATATTCAAGTTTGAATAGGTCAGCTAGGACAGGTCTGCACACCTGCCACTGCACCAGAACTTACATGGACAGATGAAAATCTCATGTCAGATTTTGAGTATTAAAGTGGGTATGAAAAACAATTCAGTCCAAACACAGATTTAGCTCTAAACCATCCTAGGTAGATCAGATGATCTGTCATGATCTGTTTCCAACTAAGCTCAGGCAGGTCATCTCAAGTGGTTCTTAATCAAGATTAATGCAAATGATGTTAGACAAAGTATCCATCTTCCCCAAAATTCAGGGAATCCCTTCCATAATTTCTTTGCACAACACAGTGCCTGCAGAGCCTTTGATACAGGGCAGTCAAACTGAGGTCTTATTGCTGAGCTCACTTCAGCATCTCTGCTTTAGGTGAAACCAAGAGTGATTGTAACTTGCATGCCTGTTCCTATGATTTGAGCTGTAGCCAGCTGGAGCCTGACCAGAACAACCTGTCCTTTCCCCCAGGCTTCAATCACTATTGCAGTTGACCAGGTCTTTCTGCAGCATAAGAATAGGGGAGAGTTTGATGGGCTTTTTTGAAGATGCACAATTGAGCACATACAGTATCTACACACACTGTACATATG